ACGAGTATTATGAGATAGCTCTGAGACATGTTTTAACTTTTCCCCCTGCCATCATGATCTAGACAGGCTGAGGTGGGGTGTGGGTTAAGTTTGTTATTGTTCTCTTATTAGTAGGTTGTGTGGGGGTGGTGTTCAGCCTTGCTGAGAATCAGTCTGTAGACAGATTTGTGCCAAGTGAAATTCTAGCAACTTGGCACCTGTTATAAAATAAATCCAAACAACCCTAGCTTTTAATTCACTTGTAGAAATGTTAATGTCATGCTTAGCACAAATTAACACATCTTTATGAGTCAAGATGTTCCTGAATAGTTCTTCAGCTCTCATTTGGAATAGAAACATTGGAGCATGTGTGTGTAAACTTGATCCTAATGGGCATTTATTATTGGTGAGCCCTTGCGTATTTCACATTCATGTCATTGGCTGGGTTCAGACAACACAACACGCCATGGTGGATTTTTATCATTGCTGGTCTGCCATTGTTGAACCCAATCATAAACCCACTTACTATTTCACCATTGTAAGTTTGGTCTTTAGAAGCCATGATAAGAAACAACAATTTGGACTATGGCTTCTTCCTCATTCCACCATGGCTTGTCATATTATACACACGTAGGATTGTGGTTTCCATGGTCCTGATATGCAACTACTATAGAGTCCTGGAAAGAGTGGCCACTGCAGGAGCCTCTCCAGCCATTCTTCTTGGGCAAGTAACACACATGTGGACCAATGAGGAACATGGACAAGGGACTGAATTTCAGGCACGGCAACAAGACTGAGCTTGGAGATTGCAAAATATGATAATGTAGAAACCATTTGATGATCTGTCAGATAGATCTTGGTTCAAAACAAAACAAAACTGAGAACTGTGGAAACTGCATGGAGAATATCTAGGTAGGACTGACACACACCCCTGTGGAGCCCTGCTACTGATGTTGCTACTTGGTGTGCTGGAGTAGTTGGGAATGTCCAACTGGGCCACGAGGCCTCCTTACACATCCTGCCTAGGCCCTCAACAAAGCCATGCTCCCCAGCCCTGCAAACTCTCCTCTGGAAAGGTAAGAGAAGCTGGGTCCATTGACTCAAGACAGTGGCTTATAACCAATGGCCTCCAGTCCTGATGAAAAAGGAGAGAACCCAGGAAAACAACCAGCTCAGAGCAACAGGGATACCACCTGGACATCATAGGGAGGAGAGGGTTAAACTTCCTTTCCCTGTTTCTCTGAGCATCAGCAAAGAGGTAACCAATTTCCCAGCTAGGCTGGTTATATGGGGCAAAGTTGGACTGGCAAAGCAGTGATAAAGTTCTCAGCTTCACCAGCCTAATGAGCTGTCCGTTTGGGTGTAAATGAGTATATTTGAATGCATCTGAGTAGCTGTATGTGTTAGGGTTGAATGTATCTTAGGGTTTCTTTCAATTTTCCATGTTTCTCAATCTTCCATTCATTCCATCCATTTCTATACGACTATGGGCTACACAAGTAGTTGCATGCATTTTCATGTGCTTTTCTCCTAGCATCTACATTTTGGAACATTCTGTCTTTTCCCAGGTGGATTCATTTGTCTGCCAACAGTTTCACCCTACATACTGCATTTTAAGTGTTTTTATTTATTTATTTAGAAAATTTCTAGGCCGCCCCATTCGCCGAAGCCTCAGGGCGGCTTACAAATAAATAAATTAAAATACATAAATAGCAATATAAAATACACGTAACTGTATAAAATAAGTCGCCCTGGCCAAAAAACTTTAAAATAAAAATAACATTAACAATTAAAATGATGCTTGAATAAAAAGGTCTTCGCCTGGCCCCGAAAAACAAATAACGACGGCGCCAGGCAGACCTCTCTGGGGAGCACATTCCATAGACTGGGCGCCACCACAGAGAAAGCCCTCCTCCGAGTACCTATCCTCCTAATTTCCTTCACGGAAGCTTCCCGGAGAAGGGCCTCTCCCGCTGATCTCAGGGGGCGGGCGGGCATATATGGACGTAAGCACTCCTTCAGGTAGCCAGGACCCAAGCCGTTTTGGGCTTTATAAGTGATCACCAACACCTTGAATTGGGCCCAGACTTCAATGGGAAGCCAGTGAAGCTGACGGAGGACTAGAGTCATGTGAGCATAACTCCCAGTCCCCGTCAACAGCCTGGCAGCTCTATTCTGAACCAATTGCAGTATCCGGACCGTCTTCAAGGGTAGCCCCACGCAGAGCGCGTTGCAGAAGTCAAGTCGAAAAGTCACCAATGCATGTGTCACTGTCGCCAGGCAGTCGTACTCCAGGTAGGGGTGCAGCTGATGGATCAGCCGAAGCTGAAAGAAAGCGCTCCTCGCCACCGCTGTCACCTGAGCTTCCAGTGAAAGCTCTGGGTCGAGGAGCACTCCCAAGCTGCGGACCTTGTCCCTAAGAGGGAGTGCAACCCCATTCAGGACTAGGTTCAATTCACCCTCACCAAAGCTCGATGCGCCGACCAACAGGACCTCCATCTTGTCTAGACTGAGCTTCAGTTTATTGGCCCTCATCCAGCCTATTACCTCGGCCAGTTGTAAAAAATCAAGTTGATAATTTGTGCAAACATCAGATCCTAATTGGAGATCTGATGCCGGTCCCTTTTGTAAATAGTAATCAGCCTTGCCAATTGTTAAGCCTAATGCCTCATGATGAATAACTGATGCTTTTTAAAGCAAGATATGACACTAAAAGGATGGCATGTTGAACTTTGTTTTCTTGCACCAGAGAAGAAAAATTGGTTAGTAAAACATTTTCAGGATCAAATTATATTATTTTAGTAATTTCCTTTAGAACCATGTAATGGTTGTGGGGAGGTTACGGTGCAGCGGCACAGATAGCATGAGAACAGATATATAAGTGTGCACCACACATACAGAAGAGTGCTCTTATTTTCCTCTAAGGAATGCTGGAGGCTGTGAATTGGTTTGTGATTCTTCTTTCCCCAATTGACGAGGCTACCCAAAACATTTTTCTGCCCTAGGATTAAACAAACACAAACACAAATACATTCTCTCTTTTGTGTTTTCATCACATTATATAATAAAATAGTGTAAGCCACTCAACAATACCTTTCCAGAGACACAAGAACACCACATAAAATTGCTTACTGCAACTGTCTATTGTGAGTTAATGAGCAGATTTCTTTAGGGGTCCTTCTGTGCTCATGGTCTAAAGAGGTGTTGGGGGTGACTATCCACACCCCACTCAAAGTACATTTCCCAAACCTGCTCTAATATGTGTGCCTCTCTGTGTACCGTCTGTTTATATATTTTATTTATTTGTTTGTTTATGTGGGTATTTTTATCCCTTCCAATTACAACACATATATTTGCACATACACATTTTTATACTGTGTGAAATAGATTTTAACTTTAAGTAAACTGCCCAGAGAGATTATTGGGCAGTATATAAATGTACTAAACAAAATGAAACAATCATGAAGTAGGTCCAGACTTCCCCTCTGGCCACTGCAAGGCTTTCACCTAAAACACCTGGACTTGGATGTCAGTGCACACAGGTCTTGGAGGTATATAGCTCATGTTCTGTGCAGTTGATTACAGTGGGTCTCACTCAATCATCAGAAAGCAGACAGAGGAACCAGGCCTGCTTCAGCTTGACTGGGTTCCAGTTCAGTGGGTCTGTCCAAGAGTGAAGTGGTGAACCAAAGATTTACCGTGAGACACACGGCACCAAAGCAGCCCTGCGAGTGACAGTTCAGCAAAACAGCAGCACACCACTTTTGTTTCCAAGTTCTGCTTTGCTTGTTGCTGCTTCATTTCTAGTGATTATTAGTGATTATTTGTATTCATTTGGAACTCCAGCTGGCATGATCCAGGAGAAGTTGGAGAAGAACCCCTTGCAGGAACAGGGGACTATCCATCTTGATGCCAGAGAGCAGATGGAAGCAGGTAGTAATTGGCAAAGAGTAATATGCATGAGAAGGACATAATAATCTGATGTCATTAGTGAGATCCATCCCTGCTGGCAAGAGGGTCCTAGCATGCTTGACAGAGCACTAAAGCAATAGGGCATTTCTCTGAGGATTCTGTGATGGCGATAGCACAGGTGCAGTGGAAAAATACTGGGTGCAAACACAGAGGTAGGTCTGTAGGCTGCAGTCCTTGGCACAGTTACCTGGAACTAGTAAACTCCATTACACATAGTAAGGTTTACTTCTGAGTGGAATTGCATACAGTTGGCCTGCATAGGACTCACAGTTACATGGTTCTCTATAGTTATGTTCAGTTCTGGGCCCCTCATCACAAGAGGGATATAGTAAGGTTGGAATCAGTGCAGAAATGGGCCACTAGGATGGTGGCTGCTTTGCAGGGTAAGCCATATGAGGTGAGACTGAGGGAGCTGGCTCTTTTCAGCCTTGAGAAGACCCAGAGGGGACCTGTTAGCAACATACAGGTACGTGAAGGGGGTGCCACACAGAGGTGGGTCATGACCTTTTCCCCCCTGCAGTAGAGGGCAGGACACGTTCCAATGGAGCAAAGCTCAAGGAACGAAGATTTAGGGTGGATGCCAGGAAGCACTTCCTGACAGTTAGGACCCCTAGGGCATGGAATGGGCTTCCACAGGAGGTGGCTGAAGCCCCATAGGTGTGGGTGTTCAAGGATAGGCTGGACATGCACACGGTAGGCATGTCATGACTGGAGCCAGCTGGAGCTGGCGTCAGACTAGATGGCCCAGGAGGCCTCTTCTGACTCACTCTATTTCTATGGTTCTATGTTATCTTATGAGAAATTCACTGCAGTTTCTTTCAACTCAGGATTTACCTAGTTCACACCTTCCCGGCTTGAACACAGAGCACAAACTACAGTTGAAGACTGTATGCTTCTGGACTTAAAATGCAATTTGTAGAACCCCTCCCCCAAATACATTCAACATGTGTGAATTTGAAAAAGATGCACAAACACTTCAATCAGTGTGAGAATTTCAAAGATGTGCAAAACTGAAGCATATATTTCTGTCAACAAAGCACAATTCATGATACAATCCCAGAAACATTCCATTTAATAGCATGTGCATGAAAACACATGATTGTTCATGTGAAAAAAACAACAGCAGCAGCAAGAACAAAGAAATAGATACGAGATGTAATCAGTTTGAATGTGGAACTGGGAGAACATGAAGAACTTGAGATTTGCTTGCAAGCAAATTCCTACTTTTTGTCCTAATTTTGGACCAGGTGTATATATCAAAGAACCTAAAACACAGGGAATGAATATTTAAAATGCTGGTTTAAATGTATCATTAAAAGTAAAACAGGAAGAAGTTGTTTTGTAGTTTGAATGGCCTGAGAGTGGGAAGGACTTTGATTAACACAGAAAAGTCAACCAAGTAGGCACCTGACGGGGCTTTCTAAGGAGGCATCCTGCAGTTTAGAGGGCACTAGAAGAAAAGCTCACTCATGGTAGCCACCCACGGACGTTCAGTGTGTTGGGGCACTCAGGTGATGACCTCAGGGCACAGGCAGGAGCCTCCGGGAACTGCCATTCCTTCAGATACTTCAACAGTCAATGCCACCATCTTGACTTGTGTCCAGAAATGAACTGGGGTCCAGGGAAGATGGTACAGTACTGACAGAATATGGTCATACCAGCTAGATCCAGACCACTCCCTGGCTGCCATATGTTGCATTTACTGTAGTTTCTGCCATGTCTTTCAGGACAGGTCCAAATCCAACAGCTCATGATAATCTACCCAGAGGTATCAGGATTTTGTTTCAGTTCACACACCTCTCAAAAATGCAGCCTTGCCAAGTGTGAATATAAACAGGAGCACACATGCCCTGAAATGCTGATAAATTCCTGCACTTGCATTCACAAAATGTGTATTTTGAAAAACCAACAACTTTCACAAAATGCAGCACTTTACCCACGTAAATGAACTGAAAAACAGCAAGCAAGCAAGCAAGAACAGGAGACATCTAAGCTGAGCTTTGCAATTAAGTTCAGGCCATTTTTAAAGCTGTAGCAACCCAGGTCTTCCCATAAAAATCACCACAAGTGAGACTATTCCACATGTGCACATGAGGTAGGGAAATGGGTGGTACCAAACTCAATAGCAAAATGAAAATGAAAAACACTAAATCATCAGTTGAGTGTGCAGCTATTTCCCACAATAACCAGGCCAATGGCTTTCAAGATGTGGACCAATTTTTCATTGAGGCAATTAGTTATATGAAAAGGTGGGGTTTGTTTGTTTGTTTGTTTGTTTACCAAAATGGATGAGTCTCTGGGAAGAAGACTGAGACATGAATGGAAAGGTGGCTAGTTTTGTGCCAGGACACTGTTTGCGTGACTAGACCTCCATGAAATGTAATTGCCTGTCACTGCCCAAGGGTAGCCGGGCTGCATTTTGTAAAACTGTCCTGCCACTGCTGACACAACATTAGCAATATGAGGAGCCCTTGTGTAGCCAGAATGCCAGTAGCGTTTCAGGCACCGTGTTGACGAGCCTCGCTCTGAGCAAGGCTAGATCCTTAAAGTAATTGACAAAAGAGTTGTGTTTGGAAAAGTCTTCTTTTCCCTCCTCTCTGCAATCCCCCTCCAGATATGACATTTTTCATCCTTGGTAGATTTCTGACTGCGTCTCCGACGTCAACATGCCCAGCTTTCTTCAATTTGCTGCTTTCCAATTAATCAATTTCAGCCTGACATTGGGAATCTTGAAGTGGCTGGCAGGACCTTCTGTCGTGAACATGCAAGTGAGGGGGGTTTTGTAGCCTGGAAAAGAAAAAAGAAAAAGAGCAAGGAGGGGGGAAGAGATGATGACAAGTCATTAACAAGATTTTCAGTGTTTCATTTTATGACTGTCAGCTGTTCTCAGGCAATCAGTCATAAAAAAAAACCCAGCACTAAAGTGTAACTGCTAGAAAGGACCCCAGCTCCAGCGAACAATTTTTCAATTAAGGAAACTGCAACAGTGTGTGTGAATAATCACAACAAAGTCTATGCAATGGCTTCAAGGCAGCACTGGAGGCTTGTCATCACAATTTGATTCAAAGGGACATGGAGCATCGTAGATCTTAATATATTGCACAAGATGGCTGAGTGGCTTGTGAAAATGGCCAGCTCAGCATGAGCTATTTGCCATTGAAGAATATGCCAATAAATCTGAAATTCAAAAGTTTGCCACTGAAGTCTTCATTTAGCAGCAACTTTCGGGCTGCCTGTTGGCCTGGCTCTGGGGAGATGCAGATTCAAATCTTCATCCAGACATGGAGGTTGCTGGAAACTGCAGGGCAGTCACCTGTTGCCCTACCATAACAGGATTGCTACAAGGGTCAAATGGACCAGATCAAGAATCCCTGCAGGAAATAGTGGATGGATGGATGGATGGATGGATGGATGGATGGATGGATGGATGGATGGATACCAGCTTTTTTCAAGCCAAACCAAGGCTGTTTTGCCCTCTGCTATAACCTGAATTCAGACAAGCATAACAACAACAACAACATATGATACATATAATAGATAATAGCCCATGATAACATACCAGGTTATTTTCTTACTTCAGTGGAGTGTTGATGATTTGAAACACGGCTCCAGTCAGTCTTCGCCAGGGAGCAAGGACTTACGTAATGTTAGCTCCTGGACTTGACAGTATTCTGGGTGGGCCTTTCAGGTGACCTTGTCTAATTCTTCAGTTCTGAAGCACACAACTATCATGTCCCTCCTGTTATCCTCCCACCATTCCCTGCTTTACAATTGGTTCAACATTCCTGATAGGTTAGGACAAAGCCAAAACTGCTTTCCAACACAGATGATTTTAAAATGAAGTATTCCACACATGTGCTCTTTTGCATATTAAAATCGCTTTAGCCATAGCACCTCTGGAGTACCGTGGGGTCTCGTTCTACTGCCCCATCCTCTGCCACTGTTTGGGTGGTCATCTGGGGGCACCTTTTACTGCAAGGCCCAGAACTTTGCCCCCAAGATCCTACCTTGCTTGCACACATGGAGCAGATACAGTGGCTAACCCTTTTTCACATTGTCTGAATTGAGCTGAACTGCCCAGATGAAAACAGGGTGGTAGCGCCATTTTTCTTCAGGCTATGTACTGCTTTGAATTGTGCTTAAAGTCCACTCAAAAATGCACCAAAATGTACTCAAAATGATGCATAGTGTGGAGAGAGCAGAGAAGGCCACATTTTATCCCCCTTTTTTGACGCTAGAACATGGGCTCACCCCAATATGCTGAGTAGGATATTCAGTACAGATAAAAAAAGTATCTACCTAGTGCATTATAAAACCATGAAATTCACTTCCATAACTGGGTCCAAGCTGCAAAGGAGTGTTAACAACCAGAAGCAAGAGAAGCCAGGACCAGAACTGAGACAAAGAGAATTAACATCATAAGCATTTTCCCCCACAAAAGTACTATACTGGCTTTCCTTCTGCCAGAATTATCTATGAACATTGCTTTGTCTTCTTTTTTCTGGGAGGTGGACAGTGTAGAACTGATGCGTCCGTAATTATAAAAATAGCTTTCTCATACTAACATATGTTGGGCTTATAATTGATGGGGTTGGAAGTTCTTGCTTTTTAAAATGGAAAGTAAATAAAACAAATCAGCTTTGCATTCAGGAGCATCATGATTTGATGGCAGGAGCTTGTCATCAAATGCAGGCAAGGAGACATGTGGCATGGGAGTGCTGTCATCACGGTGCCCTGAAGCACCTCATCTGCACAGTTAGGTGATGCTGAGAAAGGCACCGTTGCCAGGTGGCAAATCCATTGTCTCTGACCATCCCCATGGACAGAGGCTTTTGGCCTGAGACCCAGTGCTAGCATTGCAGGGAGACAGTGCCCCTTCTCTTCCCGATGGGCCCATTACCTTCTCTCTTTAGAAGGCAACCATGGGGTTGTGTTATGAGGTAGGCGCCCCCTTCCAAGCAAGACAGGAACTTTGGAAGAGTCCTTATTCCATACAAAAGTCAACGTATTCACACACCTCAAAACACACACACCAGGTGGAATGTTGACCCCCTCCCCACTCTGCCCCCCTTCACCCAAAGCTTTGCTTATGAACCCTTTGGGGCTGGTCTCTGGAGGGAGGTGCACTATGGAAGCAGGCATGCCGACGGTCTTCCCGTTGAGCCCCTAATTGGTCCGGCCAGTCGGTGCGTTGATGGGTCCTTGCATCCACATCTCCTGGGGTGCTGAGTTCTCTTCCTGAGAACCCCTCCCCAGCCTGTTCCCCTCCAGTTTCTTTCCCACAACCAGGAGGGAGTGGGGGCTCTGTGGTTGTCCCTGAAGTGCTTTGATCCAGAGCTGGCTCGGGCTGGCTCATTGGGAGAGTTTGGGCAGCCAGGGCCTTGCTAGTCGCAAAACTCCAATATCAGAGTGAGAACCCTGAGCTACAGCTGGGTCAACTATCCACTCCCCTCCTCCGATTCTGAGCCACCATTCCCACCAAATCCATCCATCTCCCGTGCGTGCCTGGGAATCTCATCCGAGTGCACGCACACGGCAGGATGGTATAATTGAGTTAGGCTTGGGCAATGGTGTTGGTGCTTGTAGATTTCATGAAGGGACTTCCTTACCACCAACTTCCAATAATGCAAATACTTCTCTGACTGCATAACAAGGAAGTCCCTGAATTTCTGCTGAGCAATGGAGATCATGGCAGAAAATATTTCTGGGCACTCTTGCAAATATGTCACTAGGCTGTTTTGATAAGGGGAGATCATGGCAGAAAATATTTCTGGGCACTCTTGCAAATATGTCACTAGGCTGTTTTGATAAGGAAAAATGAAGAAAAGGGAGAAGAAAGAAAGAAGAACACTGCTGCCATTAATTGTATTGGTTCACCTCCAAACCATGCCGTGACTTTCCTCCGTCCTCCTGATAGAATAGACAAAACTGTTCATCCAGCTTTTGCAGGCTGCAGGTGGAGCTGTAAAAGTTGGGAAACGTTCTTCACACCGCCCTGCAATACCTCCCAGCCCCAAATCTCTTTCTATGGAATATTCAGTTAAAGGCTCCTTCCTGAAATATTTGATCACTAGGTCCTTGAAATGCTTCCCCATTGCCTGGATAAATCCTGTGGGGAGTTTGCGTGCTGAGCAGATAAAATGGAAATGTTTCTAATTTCCAGAAGGTGAGCTGGTTGAAGAGTATTTTAAAATTCCTTAAAACAAAGCAAAGCAAAACTACAAGCAACCACAACCAGAACCCCTAATCATTCTAGAGACCTAAGCAGAACATGCTTATCTTCTCCCCCAATTTGTTTTTCACAAGGTTAGGCAGGCCAACCTTTTTAAAATGGTTACAGAATTGAATTTAAAGCATAATTGCAAACCACCAGAGCAAACAAATCCTTGGAGAATAAAATTTCAACGTTATCTTTTCAAAGTAGAAATATTTTGGTTCCAGTTCAGGCATATACTCAAATCCCATCAGAAAACCACCACAAGAATCCACTTTCTTCCTCCCACACTCTTACTTTTTTAATATTCAGTGCAGACAACTACAGGATTAGTTCCAGAAAATAGAGAAACATCGCTTGTACCAGCAGGAAAATATCGGCAACAGAACCCTGGGCCTTTCTTACACAAATGCCAACAAAAATGATAAGTACATTTTCTCCTTACACTCAGAATTTATAACCTGAGGTGTCTATTATAATGGAAAAGTAAATGATCCCTTAATACTCAAATCAATCTTCCAAGAAATAACCTGAATAATGAGTTACAATTGCAGGAGATGAAATTAAGACAAGAACAGTGAAATAAGGATCTTAAGGAATAGATAGCATTTAGTGTGATGGTGGGGTTTGAATTAGGCTTTAAAATGTATTTGAGAGAGAGAGAGAGAGAGAGAGAGAGAGAGAGAGAGAGAGAGAGAGAGAGAGAGAGAGAGGAAATGGGGCAGTGGTCAGATAAGAAGGAACCCTTGGAGATCAGGAAACATATCTGGAAAAGTATCAAATTTTCATTATTTAAAGGAGAAAAAGAAGGGAAATACTTCAAATAGAATTCTTGATGCAAATACCTTTCAGAGCTTAAGACAGTGGGAGATTTCCATTTCTAAAACTGGATAATCTCTCTAAACGATACAGAAGCAAATCAATTTGCTGCAGTTGTGATTGGAAATTATGCCTAAAAATTTATTCAGGTTGTAAATCAGGGGACCCCTGCCCTTCTTGATATACCTGAATGTTTCCTAGTTACGAATGGATCAGGGGCAAATTGTATGAAAATCTATCTCTCTCTCTCTCTCTCTCTCTCTCTCTCTCTCTCTCTCTCTCTCCCCCCCCCCCTTTTTTGGGAAATCATGGAGGCATACTCTCAGGTAACTGCTTAAATTTCTGGCTGAGCAGTACCCTCCTGCAAAAGTGCTTTAAGTCAGATGGTGGTCGTGCACATATAATGGTAGGTCAATGTGATACAGTAATCTATCCTTTAGTCGACAAATCTGACCCCCCTAGCACATATCCAACTATTAATGGAGGGCGAGGGCTGTAGGTCTACATAGCAGAGTATTGAGACCTCTGTGGGTCCTGCCCTTCCCTTCATTTCAACTAGAGTAGCCAGATGCAAAATCTCACAGGCTCCTTTCATAGTTCAATAGTTGAATAGAAGAGGGAATTCTAGTAGGTATGGACTGCATGACAACCAGGATTGCCTCAGGTTTGCATCTGATTCCAATTATGTTGCTAATTTAAGTGATTGCAAAGGAAGGACTCCTAATAGGAATTGTTGGAATCCGCAAAGAGCACAATCCTACCCTCCTGGCATGGATTAGGCAGAGGACTCTGATGTCATCTAAAGTGTCAATCTGGTAGGAATGAACCTCCCACCCATTCAGGGCCCTGCCAGCAGGGCGGGTGGAATAACAGAGGTATTTGATCTTACCCTTCACCTTTTGAGTCTCCATGGTTAAGCCCAAATGGGGAAGCAAGCAATACGCAAAGATGGCTGGTGCTTGGGAGCCTCTTGTCCAAAAGCCAAGCAATCCCTTTTTCCATGTTTCAGAAAAAATGGCTGGAGTGAGACAGATGTTCTCCGAGGGAGAGGCTTTGGGTACACAGACTCAACGGCCTTGATGGTCACCCTTCTGCCAGACTGATCTAGGTGGACAATGCACAAAAAAACAAGTAAATATTTTTTTACATAACCTCCAAAAGAGCCAGGCCGTTATGTCATTTCTCAAAGCAATGAGAAGGCTGCTATATTAAAAACATGACATATGGGCCAGCTAGAAAGCAGCCCAGGGGGGACATTTCAGCACATCATATTATGTTGCATCCATTCTAAGCATCAACATTCCTTAAAATGCTCTTCCGGATACAGAACCAATATAGGACTTCACATGATTTGAACGAGGAACAAGGAGAAGGGGTCAGGTTCCACCTCGCTGTAATGTACATTGTATTATGCATGCAGTATCTGAGCAAAGAAGGGTGAGAAATGAAGCTGCTCTGCAAAATAAATGCACTGAATTAAAACCGACAGGACGCCAATGCATATAAATCAAGGCCAAGGTAAACGACTTGAGGATTATGACACTGAGCTTCAGTAGTTTCTAACAGAGTAAAGCCTGTTTGGTTTGGTATGAATGATATTCTTTCACTGCCTGGCATTTGCAGCACAAATGGAAAAGAAATGCAGCGCAGGCCCAAGGACTGGGGGCAAAATCACAGGAGAATGTTAAAGGAGCTCAGCACCAGAGTAAATTTTGCATCATAGACACCTATTTGGAAGCAATATTCCAAATCTATTGCATTTCAACATTATTTTTCCTCATTCATGCATTCCTGTACTCCTGTTTGCATTGGAGAATGCAAACTGCATTTCCTTTGTGAAATTCAGACAAGAGTAGAGATGGCTGAACAAGCAAATTCTCTGAACATCATTTCGCTATTCATCTCATGCTTGAATCCTATTTGGGCTTGCAATGTTTGTTTGCTTGGTGCAAACAGGAAAATGTTCAAATGTGAAATTCACACAATTTACCTCAAATTACACACTTTACTCTATGGAGGAAAGTTGTACAAATAAGCCGTTTGTGAAACTCTCCACCACGTACTAAAGTAGAACTTTCAGTCTGCAGAGGGGAATTGTGATAATGAGGAAATTTGTTCTGGAACAAACTGGGAAAGTTATGCAAATTAAGCATGAGTACATATCCAGCAATCCATGAACATTATGGCGGGACAGATACTCATAATCACAACAGGTGCTTCAAAGAAGGCATGCTTCCTTGTTTTGTGAGCAAAATTTTAATGCAACCCTAGCTGTCAAAAGATAATCAAACTTTTGTTTGCATATTCATTTCAAAACTGTGAGATTAAGGAAGCTTTCATTAAAATATGAGCAAAATGAATCTCACCCCATACATTATTCCTTTTTGAATTTTGAATTATGATGGGGAATCACATACACTTTGGCCAGGTCATGCACCATCCAATTAATTTTCTAATACCTTCCTTGATACTTTTAAATTATGTTTCCCATTTGTCTCCCCTCTGATTGGCTCAGAAAATAATTCCAGTTGTTTTTGGCTTAGGGGAAAAGAACTCCGATCATTTTAAAGTTTCAAAGTTATTCTGAGATGAGCAGAGGGAGGCATCATTCTCTCATTTTGCATGTCATGCTGAGCAAGGCCTGTCAGAAAAGGCCAGGATGTGGATTCAACTGCCATACTAGGAAGTTCTCTTTGGGTAGGCTTTTAGATGTTTGTCACTGTGTTTGCTGGTTTGGCGTTCCTAGTGAGGGGTTGGAAGAAGCCAGGTCTTGCTCTTGAAGAGGTGGGAGAAGGTGAAAATGTGTGTGCTCATTTTGACATGCTTCCCTTCTCCTTGCCATTTTTAGTTGCCACTATCACAGATAGTGGAAATAGCAGCAGTAGAGTTTGCCTTCAGTGGCCCATCCATCATTTCATGGCCTTGCAATGGAGGCAGAAAACTAGAATAGCTTCCACAAAAACACAGTACCTTTGAGGCCACAAGCATTGCTGTTGCAACCATTGTAGGCATCAGAAAAATAAAGTTCAAGAAGAAAACCAACAGCTTTGCCACTCACTGGTCATGGTGAATTGTCTTCTGCCACTTAAGAGCATAGTAATAATTTCCATTATTATTCCTCCAAAAAAATAGTGTAAAGACATTCCAGGTTCTTCCATTGTGAATAAGATGGTGAAATTGGAAGGTCTTTTGGGTTAACCCCTAGTTAAATACATTTTATTATTTTATCTCTTACTTCATTATTTATGTTTTCAATCCACCTAATAACCAGTTATGATCTGTAGTGATTTAGTCCTGTTTAGGCTTTTCATCATTTTTATATCATCTTAAAAATAATGTGAATATTTACTCTAAGTAGTGGAGATCCTGGCTAACTCAGATGGCAGCAAGCAGTAGTTTCACTGCTTTGAACTTCACCTGTGTTCCAATGAGCCAAAAACTGACCATCAGAAGAAGCAGAACAGATCAGTAAATATGATGCTCTAATTTCCCAGGATTTGCATACTTCTGACAGGCAGGGAAGATGCATTTAGCAATTGAATCCCCCTTTTCCCGGAGGCCAATCCCACAGCTTTCTGGAAAAGCAGGAGACACAGCAACCTTGAGGTGGCCATCTCAAGGAGATCATCATGAGATGATTATATAAAACCCAATTCCCCCTGATAGTCTATGCATATTTTGTTGCAGCTTCTTAGAGAATCTTGGATGATACCCCTAAAGGTGTGCTTATTAGCTATATTATTAGGTTAAAAAATAAAAACAACAACAACAATCAGTATTTCTCAAGACTGCTGTCAAATTTAGAGATGCAAAGATCCAGTAAAAACTGGCTCTTTTGTGCTCACTGGACTTCTCTTCTTTGCTCAGCCCTGAGTTAGGAAGCAAGCCAAGCTGAGATCAACTCCATGAATTCTCAAAATTGCTAAAGGGCCCCTTCCTTGTACTGAATTATTCTCTTGCTAAGTATTCAAAGCCTGTAAGTCACATGTGTGGACACAGAACTCTGCTTGCACAGTGGGCGCATGGCTAGTGGGCAGCGCATGTACAAGTCACTCTCACTAGTCACTCCTGCTCCTCTGTAATGCCATCAATACAGCTGGACTCCCTGCCTGCAAGAGGTGCATGTGAACACTCAGCATGAATAGGACTGAAAGCAGAGACAAAGGGGGCTGAAGTCTGGGGAGCAAAGCTGAAGGATCCCATGGATTCTCATCCCCAAACAAACTCCTCGTACGTTACTAGGTAAATTCCATCAGAAAAGCTAGGCTGCCATGCATGTCCTCCATTTCACTTCAGGCCACCACCACCTCCCCTCCCACCATCAGCCTATGGAACTGTGGACTTGCATGTGAAGTGGTGTGTTTGAATTAAATGTTGAATGCTTTATCCATCTGTACTCATTCTGATAAAGTGGGAAGTTTCAGCTGCAGGCCTGGCAGGCTCTGAATTCTCCCTCTCCCCAAGCACTGTATTCAGACTTTGAAACAATACAGAAGCTGGTACACGGGGCAGTTCCCAAGTGCTGCCATTTTTAATTCCAACAGCATAACAGCCCACTTCTCTATAAATTACCACCTCATTCACCAGAAAAGAAACTCTAACCTTTCCCATTTAAACAAAACAAAACCAAACCAGACCCTGACCCTTAAATGGACTTTCCAGTAATGTGCTTTTATTGCTAATGCTTTTGCTGATTTTAACATGATAGCATCAGTGGTAAGATTTACACACACACACCACCCCTCTATGTCCATGGTAATTCAGGGGGAAAGAATAATTTCATTACGCATGTCATGAGGAATTTAATCATGTGTCGTATATGATTTCCCTGTAATTCTGGCCTCACTTATTTTATCACGTAGGCAGGTTAGCACTCCGCAGCCTCTGTCGTAGAAGGCATCGTATTTTTCAGAGGCTTGGGGTCCCTGAGCTGCACCAGCCAAGGCAGAGGGGGCTCAACACAGCCCCTGTTCTGGCTCCTCTCTTTGGCCTCCTTTTTTGCCTCCCTTGGCTTCAGAAAGGAAAGGAAGGGGGTTCATACGTTCCCTGAGATTTCTCCTCCTCAGGTCAGCCAAGGCTGAGGTGAAGTTGCAAATGGCCCCCAGTCCTCCGGCATTGGACCCAAGGCCAGAAAATTTAAGTCGGCATCTGAGGCAGAAAATCCTTAAAAATTCACCTTCTGGCAGCTGAAGCACATTAAATGGGAGTGTATTGCCTTTTCATAGCACCAGCCACCTGCTGCTGCTCTTATTTATTTATTAAAAGCTTTTCTAACCCGTCCCCTACAAACATCTCAGGATGGCCTACAATGAATTAGTAGAATAAAACAAACACCACATAATCCAACAGTTAATATATTAAAACCCCAGTTAAAATCAATTAAACAGTAAAATAGCAAGAAATAAAAAGGATTTTGCCTGATGCCAAAAAGAATATTACATTGGCACCAGGCAAACCTCTCTGGAGAGCATATTCCATAGTCAGGGCACCACCGCAAAGAAGGCCCTCCTTCAGGTGCTCTCCCCCCTAATTTCCTTCAAGGAGGGCTCCCGAAAAAGGACCTCTGCCTCAGATCTCAAGGGGCAGGAAGGCACATAGGGAAGAAGGTGCTCCTTCAGGCATCCCAGAACCAAACCATTTAGGGCTTTATAGATCATAATCAGCACTTCAAATTGGGCCTGGACTTCAGTTGGTAGCCAGTGTAACCAGTAGAGGACCAGCGTTATATGTGAAAACTGACTGGTCCCCATTAACATTCTGGCAGCTCTGTTCTGAAGTATCTGGACCATCTTCAAGTAATCCAACTGGGAAGTTACCAGAGCACGGATCACTGTTCCAAGGCAATGCTCATCCACAGTAATAAAGCAACGTTCTTCCTCAGCCTCCCACCTGCATTTGCCGTATCAAGTGCTGCACCCAACACAATCCAGGACAAATTCCTTGGTGTCCTGTGAGACTTCTTCCTCTAACTGGGATTGCTGCCATGGCAATGGGGCTACAGCATTCCCCATCAGCCTTCTGGGGCTCTGAAGAAAGGCTGGGTTCATGGACCATATCCTTTCCCCAGGGTGGCTGTTCTGATTTTTGCCCACTGCTGCCCTTCCAAGACAGACTGTGTGCATTCCATTTTCTCATCACACTGTTGCTCGATCAAAGAATCTGACTTTCTGAAAGTCTCGTTTCATTTATTTAAATGAAAACGTGTTACTGGGAGATTCAGGACAGAGAAAAGCAAGTGCTTCTTCACACAGCACATAGTAAATGAAGGCATTCACTGCCACAGAATGTAATGAGAGCCAATAATTTGGATGGCTTTAAATGGGCACAGGACAAGTTTGTGGAGGAGAAGGTTGTCAATGGCCACACATCTTCCATGCTACATGCTGCCTCCACTATCAGAGGCAGCATGTCTGATACACCAGTTGCTGAGAAGCTTGAGCAGGTGAACTCTCGCATCCATCCTGCTTGAGGAAGCCTATAAGCAGTTGGTTTGCCACCATGTGAATGGCGTGCTGGATTGGATGGGTCATTGGCCTGAATCAACATAGTCTTTCTAATGTGCCTATGGGTTTTTGTAGGATGAACATCCCAGTAGCAAAATGTAATCAACTTGTCATGTTATGGGTTTGGAAAAAAGTGCTGTTAAGTCAAGATCTTACTAAGCATGTTTAGAAAAGGCAGGGAGAGATATGGAGGATCTGAAGTGATTGGAGCATTCGTTGCTATATAGATTAAGGATTTCTTTTGGGTTACATTTTTATGGGGAGTTGATGGATAGATTTCGGGGGCTGATTGTACAGGTTGGATTTGTATCAGACTCCCTTGGCAACTTTATCTATTTCAGTTTGGTTTGTTTATTATAGTTGTTTTGCTTTCAAAATACAATTAAAAAAAGATCTTACTAAGCATGAAAATTTTTGACATGTGCTCCACTGATGTGCATTTTGTGTATGTACAGCATTTTTCCTCAGATTCATACATCACCACTGTATTTGTCACTATGAATCCCTTCTCTTTTCTTACCATGGTATGATTTGGTCAAAGAATAACTAGGAGGTTAAACTAAAATTTTAAAAATCCTTGCTTGTACTTGTACATTGCAAATGAGACATTCACATTTACTTCAGGAACTAAATGGTTTAGGAATTAACATGACAGCAGACACAAAATGGTGGAGTTCGGGTGCTTAATCATGCAAACTGTGCAAGTGCAGACAATATAAATTGATTCACCATCAATTTATGTCCAAAATGTGGAAGTATTAGAGTTTATTGGATTGAGATCGAGGCTTCATACACATTCAGACATTATTAATCCCAGAGATTCCATCTGTGAACCGAGCTGTATTTTGGTTCCCCCATTCCTCTCGGTAGTTTTATGTGCCAACTTCAAGATGGATCTCATTATCAAATTTCTAGGACAAGATATCCGAGATTTCTAGAAGATATCTGGAGATCTCTGGGCTGGCTCCAGGTTGTGCCTTGGATTCAGCTCCATTTACTGAAGGTGCCTCCCCGCACTTTGGTGATATCCCCAGAAACACCATGGCTGACCCCATTCAGCAAGCTCAGGCATCTGGGGCAGCTGCGGCAAGGAGGAGTTGGCATGGAATTCAATTTCGGCCTGCATTGTTTTACTGGATCCAAACCATTATCTCCCTATTTGAAGGAGATACCTGAAGAAACACCTTCTTCCCCTATGTACCCTCCCACCCCTTGAGATCTGAGGCAGAGGCCCTACTCCAGGAGCCCTCTTTGAAGGAGATTAGGAGGGAGAGTACCCAGAGGAGGGCCTTCTCTGCAGTGGCACCCCGACTATGGAATATGCTCCCCAGAGAGGTTCTCCTGGCGCCAACATTATATTCTTTTCAGTGTCAGGTAAACCCTTTTTATTTTCCTGTTATTTTAATGTTTAATTGATTTTAATTGGGTTTTAATATATTAATGATTGGATGCTGTGGGGTAAGCCATCCCAAGACATTCTGTAGAGGACAGGATAGAAATCTTTTAATAAATAAATAAATAAATAAAATGCAGATGATTAAACAAGGATTGGATTAAATACATTAATCCAAACCAAAATATTCTGGTTTAATATGGGCTGCTCTGCAATTTGGGGAGGGGGGTGAAGAATAAGCCGGTATATGTGCTTCAATGCTATGGGGAGAAAAGACCATCATTTAATAATGGTCTATATTTCCCCCTTTCACTATAGGAAGGCAAAATGCCTTTTCTCTCTCTGCCTCATGATAACTAGATCAAAACAGTGGGAGCTCTTCTGAGCTCAAGGCACCCCACAGGGCTCCAAGGCTGTCAGTCTCATCAGTGCAGCCCTTTCCTCTGACAGCACTAGCCTCTGTTTAGAAACAGCTCCTCCTGCCAAGTCTTCAGAGGCTATCTGCAGACACCCTTTATTTGCCTTGGCTGTGGATTTGGCAGGCATTTATTGTGATCAAAGGGGAGAAATGGTTGTAGGTACTAATGGGAGCAGGCGAGATCCTGAAGGCAACTTTCTTGCGAGTACCAGGGAATTCTGGCCAAAACAATTATTTCTTGAGGTCTTCCCCCTTAGCAACGCATGGGCCTATTTACAACTGGGCAGAGGACAGAGGAGACACAGCAAGTATTTATTGGAAGATTGATCATGCAACCTTTGTGGTGGGGAGAGTTGAAGAGGTACCATCTAGGAACCACAGGATAATTTGGATCCCCAGAGCCAAGCTGGGTAACCAAGCTGTGGGAATCTGCATCCCAATCACCCTTCCCTTGTTCCCACTGCGGAAAGAGCTGAGGTGAGGTCAGGAAGCCACCTTAAGAGAGTTAAAGGGGAGGAGAAAGGAGCCCCCAGGCCATGAGATGCCCCGATGGGATGGCAGCAGCTTTCCCTTCCCCTCCAAAGCACCTCAGCCAGAGGGCCAAAAATGGCTAAACAGAAATGCTGAGCAGGAGCTTCAGGGGAGAGAAGACCAACTGCCACTCTTCTGATCCACACCAGATATTCTTAAGTCTCTGATCTGGGGGCTTACAAGCCTCAAGGACACAAACAATGAGGCTGCACCCTCATTAGATCAATGGTTGATTGATATTTTGAATGGTCAATGCTGAGCACATGGATGCCCAAGAAGAATTGCAACACCACCTGCCATTCATCCCTAAGCACTAAGCGGCATATATTGATTGCTCGCTTTGCTGAACTGCAACTGATACCCCTCCAAAGCCGGGGTTCAGCATCTCTTTTGGCCCATCGTCTGAATCTTGGAGAATCTCTCATGGGCCACATTCCAATAGCAAGCATGGCTCAGGGCACCCTCCAGCACACAAAGATGTGAGCATATTTTAGTTTGAGACTCTTCCTGCCAGTAACTAAGTCTTAGGAGAGACATTTCAACTAGGGCTGTGCTGAAAATGTCTCTCATATCAGTTTCTGCCATTCTTATTCAACGGGATAGAAAATAAATTGCTTCCGTAAAGAAGTTTGAATGAAAAGCAAATGCCAGAGAAATTCTCATAGGTTTGGTTCAGGATTCTTGTGCTTACCTTACAGACGAGGGGGCCAAAGACTGAGTGAGTGGTCTGATTTCTCCAGCTTCCCACATTCAGTCAAAGCCCGTAGGAAGACATCAAACAGCAAGCCCTTCCTCATAAGTTTCCCCCCACCCCAAATTAGGATATGCAGGCTGCGTGGGAGGCTGCAGCGCAATGGAAAGACGCATAACACCCTTGCTTACTCACAGTGATCTGCTATGCCTCAAGCTCTGCTACAACCTTGTCAGTGATGAACACTACTTGTAAGGAAGTGTTAGAAAACTTTTCCTCCCCCTAGACAGATGGGGTAAGTTTGTTTGTTTGTTTCAGTTCTGATCTGCCCAATAACTCAGGTTCTCTGGATGGGATTCCTAAGCATTTGAAAAGGAACTGAAATTCTACTGTTAAAAATAGCCAGCATAATACAAAAATGCAAAAGAATAGAATACAATATATTGCAAAGTAAAAAAGAACTACATGCATCAATTAAATAGCCATAATAAACTATAGCATTTTAGAAATCTAGAGCTACATTTCTAACATGCCTGTGAAAAATGGTCTTTGCCTGGCACTGGAAAGGCAACAGCTTAGGCACCCACTGAACCTCCTTGTGGAGTTCATTTTGTACATGGGATGCCACTATTGAAAAACCCTTCTATGGTTGCCAGCTAGCTTCCTTTGGTGGGGGCACACAGAGGGCTCCTGCAGATGACCTAAGGGTCTCAGAATGCACATAGGAGATGAGATGTACCTTTAAATATCCTGGTCTAAGCTATGTGGGGCTTGAAAGGGCCACACAAACACTCATTCCAAGCTCAGTTCAACACCCCTTGAATTGGGCCTGGAATGGATTGCAAGCCAGCATGACTGGCGCATGATCAAATCGGCCAGTCATGGAGCATAATCTAGAATCGTCTGTCTTTATATAACTGAAATTTCTAAACCATCTTCAAAGGTAGGCCCTTCAGGGTAACTCAAATTTTTCCACCCACCAATGGAGTAGAGGATTTCAAGAGGACATTTGTGCACGACTCCAATTTCAGTGTCAATTTCTTTTATAAGGGTGGATGCCACATTAAAGCTTGGAAGTCCCCAAAGCATCAATGTTTGGGTGAAAGCAGGTGTGACCTTCTGGAAGACCCTGGAGGGCTTCACAGGGACCTGAGAAGGGGCCAGATTTGGCCTCTGAGTCTGCAGTTCTCTGACACTACTCAAAAACCATGTTTCCCTTCTATTCTTTTCATTCTATGGTGCCCCCATAGCCCATCCAGCAACCTGAGGTAACTGATCTCTTCACACTGGCCTAACATTTTCTTCTACTATAGTTTAATGAAATGATAGAATGGTCTGCCCCTAAGACTGCAAGGAATGCAGTTTCTCACAATGAAGGATCACATCATGAACCTTTCGTGAAACACACACACACATACTCACACTCACACACGCACAGAGAGGGAGATTTGAATACTTACCTGCAAAGGAACCTCTATATCTTTTGAAACCTTCAGTCCAATCCTAAGAGATGCTTGTCTTTCAATGGCTGACAACAGGACCCACACATACTTGTGCTTTTGTGTCACAGCCACATCTTCCATCACAGTGTCATCAACCTGCTTCTGGAGCTCATGGACAGACTTCCTGGTTCATTTCAAGTAAGTGGGCAGACAGGAATCCAAATGAACAAAAGGATACAGGTCCAAGATTGCCTCCTCCACTCAATAAAACAGACTAGCTTGTCCCCCATGTATGAATTGTCATTGCTGCACTCGGTAAAGCTTGCTAGATTTGAATGATTGGGCTGATTGTCAAAATATTTGAAACACATAGTTTAAGCTGATGTAGATAACTGAGGGAAGCAATTGCAAATGCAAAATATGTCAAAAGCAAAAGTCATCACTTTGTGGATTGATTTCAGAAGCTCATTGCTAACCAACTTTCCTCCAAACTCATTCCACTAATGAGGTTTATTTCCTGTCAATCATACTGGAGGGTAGCAACTTGTGGTCCTTCAGATGCTTTGTCTAGCAGTCCTCAGAATCCTCCCAAATTGTTTCTGTTAGCTACTGTGACTGAGAGTTGTAGGCCGGAACAACTGGAGAATCACAAGTTTCCCACCCTTGGATTATGTGAAGGATGTGAAAAGGGGCTGGAACAAGTAAGACCGAAGCTGTTATGGCCCCAGCTCCTTCTACAGCAGACAATTTTGGGTTACTCAATGAGTTTAGGAAATCCCAGAAATTCCTCCCCTTCTGCCACTTCCTTCTTGTAGCTTTTATGCATAGCCCTCCCACCATGTGCTTTCTCTGGTTTTCTTGTTCATAAGCAAGGCCTTACAAGCAGAGCAGTACTCATTACTCTAAGTTTATTTATTTATTTATTTAAAATATTTCTATGCCGCCTCATTCGCAAAAAGCCTCGGGGCGGCTTACAAAACAGATACAATTCACACAATTAACCTTGAAAATTTGGAGACATTTCGGCACAATATAGTTAAAGGAATTGATTTAAGCTGCTATAGCAAGTCTGCCTCAGACATCCCACACACGGTAGTCACATGATGTAGGAGAAATCTGGATGACTGAAGGGTAGTAACAGTCAGTTACTACTTCTACATCACTCCCTTCTTTACCTTCTTCCCTTCTTCCGTGATAGAAGTCACATCTTGGTTTGGTAGCCTTCAAAATATGGGTTTCGCGCCTGAACATCAGCATAGGACTTTACAGAATTCTTTATGGGTGTGTTGGAGCTGGGGGTTGTACTGAAATTCCCTTTCCCCATTTTCACCCCCTCCCCCATTAACTAGAAACAAAAAAACTGATGACATTTTGGAAGTAGAGTGGCAGCTTAGGATGAAGGCTTACAGGCAGTGGCAACAAAGCAAGTCCTCTGTGTTAGAAACCATTCCTGCACTCCTCAAAGCATCCTTCGCATATGAATAGAAAAGTCAGAGAAATGGACGCAGATAAGTTTGGACTCAGATAAGTCTTAAGAATGCAACCAACACATTCTGTGGCAGATTGGTTTTTTCCAAGGCATGCATATTCTAAGAACTTGTAGGTCATTTATACACATAAACAAAATTGTATGCAAATTTAGTTATAAAAAGAATGGAACATAAAAATGCTGAGCAAAAATGCACGACTCACCCATACACTACAATGTGAAAATATACATTTTCCAGAGAGTTTTTGTTATTTGGTGGGGAATGTTCATTTTCAGGAGTACAAATTTGTGCAACCCCAAATTTGCACAAATTTATACAAATAAATTTCACAAGCTCCAATTCCATCAGTCAGCAGATGAGAGAATGAAAGTCCAGGTTGTTCTTGAAACACATATAGATCATAAGAGAGCCAGTGTGGTGTAGTAGTTAAGAGCATGGGGCTGGGACTCAGAGGATCCGGGTTCTAGTCCCCGCTCAGCCATGGAGCCAACTGGGTGACTCTGGGCCAGTCACAGACTCTCAGCCCAACCTACCTCACAGGGTTGTTGTTGTGGGGATAAGATGGCTGAGGAGATGTAAGCTGCCTTGAGCCCTTTGTAGGAAAAAGGCAGGATATAAATCGAAAAATAAATAAATAAAAATAAAATATTGTATGGCATCCATATATCCTTATGTGTGGTACAGTGCAGAATTCCATCTAAGAAAATGGCTAACAACTGGCTAGGAAACCTTAAAGATTTTTTTTTTTTTGCAACCACATCTGCATGTTACAGATGAATATGCAGATTAAAATGAACCCAATATTTTGCTTCTTTGAATTTAGTGATGAGGTTATTGGCTCAAAAATGGACCAAGGCCATCGTACTATATTTAAAGATCACTTTTCATGCAGATATTTAAAAATGCAGATTAATGCAGTAATAGGATGAGATGACTTTATGAGTTAAAAAGCACACAACTGGCTTGAATCAGAAATAGACTAATCCATTTATTCCTATGGGTTGCAACGATAAAGACAAAACTGGCTGGCACTGCTTGCTGCCGCAAAACGCTAGTGGAGAAAAAAAGCAAGGGGGAATGAGCCCTGTGATGTCCCTTTTTCCCTAGCCTTGAAGCATTCAGATTAAATGCCTGAATCTATGGGATATGCACATCTATGGGATGTGGATCAGAGTTAGTGGAATACCAAACTGAATTGGGCTCCTTTGAAGGGATTTGGGATCCTCCAAGGCAAAGCCACACCCTGTACTTGTAGTGGGTTAAGAAAGCTGCAGAAAGGCAATTGGTACATCTGCCCAAAATACCTCTCTTTTCCGGTGCCTGCTAACGTATATGGACAATGCTATGTTAGAGAGCAAAGGCTCGGTAAAGGACAGATCTGCTTGCTGACCACAAATAAGTGTTTTTCAGCTCTTTCCTCTCCAACCATGGTGCTTTGCAGGAAGGAAGTTGAGTTATATATTATAGTTTGCTCCAATATGTTCTGTGCCCTTTTCCACTTCTGTCTCAGAAATACTTGAAGGGTCTAGGAGAGCAATGCTTTGTGGCCGTGTACTTAACCTTTCTAGTTCCTCATCCCTCCAACCTGTCCTTATTCCATCTTCCATTCCAATTCGTTCCTACACTAATCCTTACTTTAAGTTGAACACTTTAAGGTTTGTGCATTCTTGCTCTGCATGCTTCAAGAGCAGTCCGATGGTGCCTGGGAAAACATCTTGCACATTGCTTGAAAGAACCCTTCTGAAGTCCGAGGCAGGCTCCAGCCTTGAAGCAAGTGTGGGAGGAACTGTGTCAACTGCTCTCTGAGGTCAGGAAAGCAACCTTGGAAGAGAAGGAAAGAATGCATTCCAGGGAAGAGAGAAAACAAGAGATGCCGGTTATGAGACATGCAGAGCTCCTCCAGTCTCCTACCTTTCCCCCACCCCCCGTATCCTCACTAGACAGCCTGAAAAGCACATCTAGAAAAAATCACCCAAGACCGAGGATGGGGAGGGGAAGAGCACTCTGCCACTCCTGTCGCTCCGCATTGCATGTGAGTATTGCAAGCCTCTGAGTGTGGAGGCTTCTCAACAGCCAGGATCCAAGTAATAGCATTGCAATCCAAGCTCTCCACTCTCTAGCGCATTGCTCCTTAGGCAGTCCCTGATCACAGGTTACCTTCTGGTAGGCTGCATTTTAATTTTCATGCATGTTTC